GCCTCGTTGTAGAGGTTGAATAAGTCCGGAAGAAAACACATTCTAGTCTTAAGCTTCTTTCTATTATTGTGTATCTACTCAATTCATTTTCTAAGTTGTTTTTTTTTGGGGGGGCAGAATAACAATGATTTGCCCAGATATAAGTATTTAAAGCATAGATGGGGGAGATGGGTTCATGCCTTTCCTAAGAGTATTTGTGTGTATATAAATGCAACGAACTCGACTGCAATTATTTTTTTTTTATTTTGAACAGCTATCCTTTACGCTATCTGCACATCTAAGTTTTCCGATTGAATCTCAGACTTCTTGAAGTGTGAAATTAATTCCTGCAGTTGTATAAAATCTTCACAAGCATTTAATGACATATTGCCTGACTGCAGTTGCTGCAACATCTTGTAAGGATTCTAAGCCTTGTATATTCAGCTACTTCCGACATTCATGAGTCTATCACGCCAACCATCTCGGTCCTGGTTCAAGGTTAGGTCATTAGGGTAGCATTCTGTGTCATATCATAGTTGGTGAATCTACAGGATTGCTGGGCGACCCATTCGTCTTGCGCCATGGTTAGGTGTCCAGAGGTTTAGATCACTCGCAAATTCTTATTTTGCTCGCCAGCAGTGTCTTGCAAATAGCATCCTGCGTTCGCTTAAGATTGTAGAAATATCAGGGATGGGCCTATAGATCTGTGATATATTTAGATGTAGTCTCTAAGAGATATCAAGTATAGCTCTCAGTATCCGAGTGTAAGTTCCATCAAGCTTAGACACAAGAGTTTTAATGGCCAAGCAGTGGCACCATACATTAAAACTGCCTCTACAGTGGTGTGAAAGAATTTCCATTTGAGGTTGTCTTGTAGATCAGATTTCCAGATTATATCCATTTTAAAATTAACTGCAAAATTAGATCTTCAAAAGTTGCATGATACGCGTGTGTATACGGTATTTTATTATCTATTCGATTGAGCTATCACGCCAACTATCAAGGTCCTGCATCAAGGTTGGAAACTCATTAGGGTGGCATAACCTGGCTGGTTAATGTAGGTTGGTTGCTGGGCAACGAGCTCGTCTTACGCCATGGCTACGTATCCAGGTCAGTAGATCACTCGCAAGTCTGCAAAGCGCATTCTGCGTTCGCATAATATTGTAGATTTTATCAGGGATGGGACTATAGAGTTGTGATTTACTTAGATGTTGTCTCCAACAGATGTTAAATAGCTTTCAGCATCCGAGTGTAGATTTCATCAAGCTTAGACTATATAGTTTTAGTTAAGCAGTAGTACCCCTACATTAATACTGCTTCTACAGTGGCTCAAAAGAATCTCCGCTTGAGGTTGTCTTGTAGATCAGATGTTGTTTCCAACGGATGTTAAATAGCTTTCAGCATCCGAGTGTAGATTTCATCAAGCTTAGACTATATAGTTTTAGTTAAGCAGTAGTATCCCTACATTAATACCGCTTCTACAGTGGCTCAAAAGAATCTCCGCTTGAGGTTGTCTTGTAGATCAGATTTCCAGATTACGTCAATTTTATGAATGCAGCCCAGGCTTTAGTTATGCAAATTTTCACATCCTTTTTAGTACAATTTATTTCGCTTCTTAAGCTTTGTGCATTCAATCAATTATAGATCTTTGTTTCTATCAGTTTTTTTTTTCAGGCTTTCTTGCCTCGTTTTGAATTTCTTAGTGTAAACACTTTACGGTTGGTTCACCAGCTTCTTGTCGCATGGACATGAATTTCGCTCTTTCAGCAATATCAAACCAATGTTTTAGGACGTGTATTCCTTCGTATTATTTTATTAATTTCCCCATAAGTTCAATTTTCTAGCTTCCATGCATAATCCAGTAGTGAAAATTTCATTGATTCACATCCAGTTGTGAACCCCAAAATCTTCATTTCATTACCCACTCCCCCAGCATTGTAGCCTCGAAGGTTCTTCGTTCACGCATGAGATGCAAAGTGCTCAAGCCATACATAAAAAAAGTTCTAGTCCTCTGGAAATAATAATTATTATAGTGATTTTCCAAATGTAGCTTAGATATGGCACAAGGCCGAAAGTAGGGGGCACACAGTAAGGATCGAACTCACTACTAAGTCGTTCGATCGAGACAAACTTGCTAACCATTATATCACCTCGAGGTGCCCGTCGAAATAATAATTATTATAAAACACTTATCGGCAGCGCCATTGTTGTGATGTGTTAAATTGTATAGGAGATATTCACAAGTATATCTTCAAGCTAAAGTGGTCTTTTTTATTACCTATTTTATTTACATATTTATTTACATAAATATTACATATTTTTCAGACACGTAAATAAGGTGATATTTTTTTAAGCATGGCTTAGATGTGGCACAATGCCGAAAGTATGGGGTACCACAGATATGCAAATAAGACTACAAAAGCATAATATAAACTCTCTTCATTTGTGCCCTCTTCTTTAAAGAAATGGAATTTCAGTAGGAAAACCGGGGCCCTCTCCCGGGTACGACTAATATAAATTGTTTTTTGTTTTTTTAAATAAACAAATATTAAGTTTGGAAATTACAAATTCAAAAAAAAATAATTGCGTTTTATGCATAAGCATTAAGTGGCGAGAACAATAGAATAATGAAGACAGTAGATATCGATTGACATTGCATTTAATTTTTTGATGATCAAAGTTAGCCGGAAAAGAGTTCCGGAAGTGGAAGAAAAGAAACTGTTAGCATAGAACTTACGGTTGCGTCTAGCCAATTCAACTGTAAAATAATGAGACCTTGCTGCCAATCTAGTACTTAAATTCATAAAATCTATTTACCTTAGTGAAAAGTTCATTAGAACAATTACCATAAAAACATTTATAGTAAAGGCACAGGGAAGTTACATTACAGCGGTGGGAATATGACTGAATCCAAGATGCCAGGTCAAGACCAAAAATATTGCTGATTCTTTTTTTGGATTTCATCAAGAATCTGTAAATATATAGCAGGAGCAACGGAGCAGCAATATTCAAAGCATGGACGAACGGTAGACATATTTGATCAATATGCTAACATAACAGGAACAGGTCCCAGAAAAAGTTAGGAGTGCGTATTATACACGAAAATGATAACAAAAATTACTCTCGTCTCCTCAGCTTCAAAGATATATATCACGTGTTCTGATTTTGATTATTTCTGTCTTAACCCCTCGCCGATTGGTCCATTCTACACTAGCATCAAGGATGCTACAGGCCAATAGCCGAGGATTCTTTTATTTTCTATTTATGTAATTATTTTTTTATTCTCTTATTTACGAAATAATGAACAGAATTGAATTGAAAATGAAATATATTATTTGAAACTACGTTCTCCCCTATTTTTGCTAGTTTTTTTTTTTCAAATATTATTTTACCTCCATTAATATTTTAAAATTTCTTCAACACATGCACGTTCATTTTCTATTGACTAGTTTTCAATTTCAAATTGATTGGAAATAAACTACAAATTAAGTGGTTTTCAAGATTTCTCATTATCTTATAATGTCGTTCTATCAGTTTCTGTTTAGTGTGGCATGACGATAGTTTGTTGCTGTTTATGAACTTCGAAAGTAAATTTCTAATTAAGTAATAGATTTTTTTTTATTTATTAATCTGACTGATTTTTATCACTTTAAACTTTAAAGAAAAATAGGCGTGCTGGCGGAGGAGGCATATTTTTCTTAAAATTTCCTGAATATTCAGGCCGGTAGACGAAAATAAATATACTGTTTAAAATAAACAGAGCGTCTACTGAATTATAAGTATCTACTAATAAAATAACGTTTGACGGATTAATAGATAAATACATTACTTCTTTCCTTCGTTTACGTTTGGATAAAAAAAAAACGTGCAGATATGAATTTTCGAGAACCAATGTTAGTGATTTGCGTTTAAAGGCACTGTTCAGCTTTGCTTGATCGGTGACTCCCTTCGTCGCCGGGTCGGTCTACAGCACATTAGGTCTAACAAGGGTTTGTCCTGCAAAGGGAGCGCAAGTTCGAATCCTGTCGAAGGGCACATAGTCTTCTTTAATAAGATTTCTTGAATATTCAGGTCGAGAGACCAAATTAAATATACTGTTCAAAATAAATGGAGCGTCAACTCAAATATGGATATCCACTAAAAGTAATGTTTAAAGTGATAAAAACTTCTGAATTATGTAGGATAACTTCATTCTGATTAATATTAGGTCATTTTTTTTTTTTTTTTGCCTGTATATTTCTAAAATCTCTTGTCAAGATGACGATCCTGCAATAGCCTAATTCAACCTTCATCCGATTTTCCACACTACTCAAGACAAAGAGTTCTGAAGAAAACTCCCTTCAGTATTAGAACGCTCAATAAGAGTTAGTGGACTTGAAAAGTCTAATTTCCAGAAAAAACATTTTTAATAAAAAAAAAATACTTTATAAATTTCAATCGACAGTAACACAACTGTTTGCAAGCTAACATTTGCAAGTTTTGGAACATTTCTCAAGTGATATTTTATATCTAGTCTAAAAGCAAACAGCCTCATGATTTCAGAACTAGTCTAACTTTGTCCTAACTCAAAGGATTTGTCAAGTTATGATTGTTGAAAGGAAATTATAAGATTGCTCTCTTTTCTACGGCTTATCAAACTTTTTGCAGGTTATTTAAAGCCAGAAAATATTTTTAAATTGTAAGATTCTTTTCTTTTCTTTTTTTTCTTTTGAGATCGTAATGATTTACTGATAATTAACCCATAACTTGGGGGGAAGAGGTGGATTCATAATGTGTGATTATTTGTCGTCTTCATATAATACATGAACAGTCAATACAAACGCGTTTACTATCATTAATCGCACTAATTGATTCACTGATTTCGTTTTCTACGGCTTATGAACCCTTTAAATCCAGAAAATACTTATAGATTGCAATAATTTCTCAAGGGTATTTGCACGTAAGTGAAAATAACGAACCAAACTGGAATTGGAATTTTCAATTCCGAGTCGTTACCTATTGCATCATCCGCACATCCACCCTTACAGCAACTGGTATTCGCAAGCGGTCACTCATCTAGGTACTGACTAGGCTCAATGTTGCTTAACTTCGGATAGTATGGGAACCTGTGTTTCAATATGATATAGCCGTAAGCTAAAGTTAATTAAAACTCACACATAATTAATCATTTATTTTTAGATGAACAGTTTTAGATAGTGGCTTTTCTGCCTCCTTTTTGCAAGAAAAGATATTGGAATCTTGTTGAATGAAAATTATAAATGTCAGACAAGTTTCACTTGACACTTGATTGCAAATATATTTTATATAGAGTAGATTTTTGATACGTAAAATTCTATCAAAAATAGTGTAAGTTCCCGAATATTAAAAAAAATTTAAGCCAACAAAATGTAAGAACATTGTTCTCGAGAAAAGATTTAAAACCTACTCAGTTCCTTTCGTGTTTTAAATTTCGTGTTTTTTTTTTTATCTGCTTTTGGTACCATATATTTTAGTCCTGGTTATGACGATAAACTACATCCGGCAGCAAGGCTTCTGATCGGGAGGTTTTAAGGAGAGTGAAATCACCTCTAAATTACTTTTGTTTCCTTGTCCACCCTAACCCGAGGTGGTAGCATCTGTTAGGGTCCCAGCTATGGGAATATAGGGAACCTCCAAACCAAAATCAAAACACTAAAAAAGTTATATATAAAATGCCCAACAATACATTTTATCTGCAGTTGAAGACATATAGTTGCATTGCAAATATATTTAGTTGAAGCCATAAAATTGTATTCAAAATATTTCGATTTCAGCATTAAATAACCCATAGAGGTGTTGATATGCCGCTAGACAAAATCAAAGCAAAAAAAAATTAACTGGGCACAAAATACTAGTTTCCAGCGTAAACTTATTTTGTATTTATCGGAAAATCATGATCTAGACCCATAGTCCTATATGTCTAAGGACACTGAAAACATCCCCAAAAGTAGTGTAAGTTGATTAAATGCAAAATAAAATATCTTTTGTCTCTTCACTGAAGACTATGGTTTCTAGGTCTAAACCCCTTTCTTTAATTAGAAATATGAACGTTATGTTTTCAATCTTTTTAAATAAAAGACATTAATACAGTTCCATAATTTAGATGAAAATCATTCACGGGCTCAAAAGCTAAAAATGCCTGTTTGGCTCTATTGTAGGAGCCCAGTGTTGTTTGGTCAATGAATACCGAATGTTTTCAGTATGGAAAGAGATAATCACACGATTACCTTTGAGGAAAAATGTTATCAACAGAAAACAGGTTTGGATATGGAAAGTCAGTCATGAAAATTTAACCTTAATCATTGATTAGCATCTATGTACATGCGCATTATCTGCCAGCTTTAGAATCTCATAATTGGTTGATATTTTAAAGAAACAAAATATATACAGAAAATCCTGATGAGACTCGTGATTTGAATGGCTATTTTCTGATTTTTCTCGATTAATGCAAAAAAATGGACATAAAAAAGTCAGCTTTTTACATTTAAATGTACTTATCAGCGGGATTTATAATGGTTGGCGATGATCCAAGTTGTCCTTATTCCGTTGTGCCTTGTCCGTAGCAATTAACTTTCAAATACAATAATGGCTCTAGTAACATGGAAAAGATATTTCTCGACTTATCACAGCCATAAGAAAAATAATTGGTGATCCTTTTGAAAGAATCTCGAAATAAACTGATTACAGCCTTTTTATTAGTAAAGTCGGCATCGGTGAAAAGAGTCATAAAGGGATTTTCGTTCACAGAAATTATTGCACTGAAAAGGAAAAAAAAATGTTCAGACCGCTGCTGACAACTTAATAATATCAGCATCGGCCAGTTATGTGCCATGCGTGATACACGCTTAGGCGATCTTTCGATACATGACTGACAAGGCAGATTATTTTGCCATTTCTTTCTGCGGTAGACTAGTTGCCATGCAAGGTTATAGAACCCGGTCTGCCCTGCTATTTACCTATACCTGAAGGAGAAGAGGACGATACATACTTTTCCCAAGGTTATTAACACGTAAGTGAATGTAATGGACTCGACTGGAATTCGAACTCGACTCTCCGATTCCTCAATCAAAACTATAATGGATCAAAGGCTGCAACAAGATGCACTGGCTGACGGCCATATCACCGAAACTGGTCAGTGCATAGGGATACTACGTTCTATAAGCTTGGAATGTGCGGGTGGTGTAAAGAATAACAGCTTGGAATGGGAAATTGGAGAGCCGAGTTCGAATCCCAGTTGGGTTTGTTTCATTCATCTGCATGCAAATACCCTTGGGAAAGAGATAAGTCTACATCTTCTCGCACCAGCTAGGAGTTGAATAGCAATATTTGTATCTGATATTCATTATTATCTACAAAGAATTGTTAATACTGTATTCACTCGCAAAAAATTATTCAATCCCAAAATATGTTACGGATTTACAAAAGGTTGATAAACCGTAAAAACTCATTCAAACCAACAAGATAAAGTATGATAAATTCAACATGTCCCACTTTAGAAGTATTTAATAATTTGATGTATTGCTGAAATGGAGAAGTTTTGAGTGATAAACTGAAAATACAAGTTTATTGACCAGGTTAATGAGTCAACAGGTGTTGTGTCCAGCTTCGAAATGAAGCCGTTGCAGTCACTTTCACACAAATACGCTTGTGAAGATTTAAATTCATCTCTTCTCTCCCAGTTAATAGCAGCGTAGACTGGGCTCTCTTGCTTTGGTTGGTAACCAGTCAAAGAGAAGGAAAACTCTAAATCAAAATCAATTTGGGCACAAACCTAGCAACCCCACCTCGTAAAATTCCTATTTGCTACGGAAAACATAGCAGCAACACCTAGCGTGGTGAGGCCGTGACCTTATGCTTCAAAGTTGGGGTGGGGCTACAGTGTTAACGTACATAATGTAGCTTTTTTTTTAAATATTTATTATTCAGGGTGAAATACAAGAAAACCCTTTCTGTTTCAAAGAGTTGTCAGAGGCAAGCAAAAATTTGGTTGGTTGGTTGATTTTGTTTAGTGGCATATCAACATATCTATGGGTTATTTAATGTCGAAATATAAAAATTTTTTGCGTGATAATATTTTTTTTTATTTTTGAGATAATGATTTTAGTGATACACGTCTTAATAATTAACCCATAGATAGGGGAGGAGAGGTGGATCCATATCTTTCACAAGGGTATTTGTGCATAAATGAATATAATGAATCCAACTGGAATTGGAACTCGGCTCGCCGATTGACAATTCGGGGCCCTTATCTATTACACCACCCGCGCATCCATGCTTACGGCACCTGGTATTCTCAAGCGTTTACCTATCTAAGCTCGACGTTGCTGAACTTCGGTGATCGTAGGGAAACCGGCATTTGAAGCCTGTAAGCAAAAATGATAAATGTATTATATATATATATATGTGTGTGTATGTATATGTATAATCTCATATGAAACATGAGGTTACTTCTGAGATAACTATTGGCATCTGTACTGAGGAGGCGTTATCATTGATTGGTTCGGGAAGAGGTTGTGTTCCTCTGGCGAAACTAGAAAATGCCAATATTGTCTCAACACACTTTATAGGGCGGTACCGATTTCAACATCTCTTGAATATTAATTAAGAAAAAAAAACTATACATTCGAGGATGCTACAAATATGATAAAGTCCGTTAAACAAAGACCTTTCGCTCCAGAATGTTTAAAAAGTCATGGGAAAAAATTGCACAATGAGGACATAAATCATTGGTTGCTTACAGAAATCCGGTGGCTGAGTAGAGGAAGTTTTCTAAATAGGGTGTCTGAGATGAAAGATGAATTGCAGAAATACTTTCAAGAAAACAATAAAACATTTTGCCAATTGCTTTGAAGATGAAAAATGGTTGCAGCGGCAAGCGGACTTAACATTTTTCATCATATGAATCAACTGAACAAGTTGCCGCAGTGCACTGATTTGAAAGTATTTATTTCACGTGACAAAATTATTCAGTTTAAAATAAGACTGAATTTTTGTATTTGTCATCATATGAATCAGCTGAACAAGTTTTCACAGTGCACTGGGTTGAAAGTATTTATTTCACGTGACAAAATTATTCGGTTTAAAATAAGACCGAAATTTTGTAAAAAAAAAAAAATCATGTTGCAAAAGTAAATGTCGAAAGATTTCGACAACCACTGTGGGATTTTTTTTTTTTTTTTTTTTAGAGTAAGGTTCAGGGACCTACTAGTCCTACGGGTTTATTTTAAGAGGCAGTGTATACGGTTAGGATTGAGGATATAACAGTAAACCCTAGACTTGAACAAGTTAAAATTGCAGCGATCGGAGAAACATCCTCTTGGGAGTCTGTTCCACAGTACAGTGATTCGCAGGAAGAAGCTGTTCGAGTGGGACGTACTTCTCACTGATGGAATACGGAGAGAATGTTGGTTGTTTGGCTACTATGTAAATGGCATAGCGGGTCCTAGCCGTTAAGGTTTGACCTGGCGGAACAAACGAATGTAGTTTGTCCGAATACTTTCCATGGTATTAGCGATAGAACAGCGAGAGATTTGCTACATTCCGCCTGCGAGAAAGAGACTGGAAAGTGGAAAATATTTTGTCACTCAAAAGGACTCGGAAACGCTTTTGGTCTCTGTTGGGACTTGAGAGTAAGGAATTGGTAGCTCCCGCCTAAATATGACAACAGTTCTCCATTTTCGGCCTGATTTGGCTTTTCTTAACTATGGATAAGGATATCAGCAAATCTTAAGTGCTGTTGATCAAAATTGAACTGTATCTGCCATAATCCCCACAAAGTGAGGATTATATCTGTTTTGACAGACTTCAAAATCGTCAACGTGGTGATGAATTATTTTCAGAACTACAGCTCCTTTCCCACAGTCGAAACGTCTCTGGTCTATCGTTATTTTTATGTCAAACATTCAAAGGAGCTACATTCCTTAGTTCCACTAATTCAGGCCTTTACGGCTATGACACGCCATGTCACCTACACTGGGTCGAATCATTTTCATACCCTCCGTAAGGATATGAATCCACCACATCTTCCCCAGTTATTAAGACTTCTATTAATAAATAATTATCTGACAAAAATCTTAAAATCTGAAAATATTTTCTGGGTTTAAATAACCTGTAA